CACCAGCTATACCAGGCATAGTGCAAGACTTTTTAAATATATTATCTCATTTAAACTTCACAATAATCTTGCAAAGAAAAAGAGGTTTAAAGAAGTTAAGTAACTTCCCAAGGACGCACATGTAGTGATAGAAAAACATGTGTATGCACATGTGAACACACACACTTTAACATATGATCTCAGGGGTTCATGGTTAAGAACTCCTACCTTAGACTAATCTTGAGGAGGCCTATGTAGTTTTAAAGGTTGGATTCCTGTGGGGAAAAAACTAAAAATAAATCATCTATGGTACATATACAATTCTTCCATACTTAGAAATGTTCTTATTTGGAGATGGGCCACATTTTCATCACAGCCAAGAACACAGGGCAATGGATCCATAAATTACTATAATATTAAGTGTTTTTATTGTTTGTCCTCTTTTAACTATTATCCAACAGAGTGAGAAAATAAAGAAAATGTAAATAATTTTTATAAAGCTAAATAATTAAAATTTTAATTTTAAAATTATGCTCTTCCTACAACTTTTGATATTAAATGTCCTTTATGAGATAAAAGTGAAAGGGACATTTAAAAAATATCTTTACTATAGAAAAATAACCATTGTCAACAGCCAACCCCTGCCCCCAATTTTCTTTATCTTTTTTTAAGTTATCTATAAAATTCAAGTCTAACACCCATTGGTTTAGAGAATTATATACAGTTAAGATTATTTTTGACAACCTAACCTGAATAAAGGAAGTGCAAATCATAAGGAAACCAGATCTGAAATATTTCTGAATTTCCCCAAACTCATCCACAAAACATCTCAAAGACTTCAGATCTCAGGAATACATGTTAATGGATTTGTTAAAAGCATTTCACATTTGACATTTGCATTACTAATTGCCCTCTTCCAATATGTTGATATTTCCTGTATTTGAATGGGCCCTTAGTGACCTAAGTTAGCTCACTCAATCAACAAATACTCAGAGTCCCTAATTTATGCAAGGTACTCTATTAGGTGCCTGGGGACACAGTCTGAAGAATTCTTTCTTACCTTGATGTCTCAGGTCAAAGGTCACCAGCCACTTTGTGGATACTATCCCTCCTCCCAGGAAAGAATGAAAGCCTCCCTTGGGGCTGTGCTCTCCTACAGAGGCCTACATACCTCTCTGTGTGTGATTATTTGTCTTTCTCTCTCACCTGAGCAAATTCTTCCAAAGCAAACACTATATTGTCTGTTCAATGCTTTCTTCCTAGCACAGTGCACTTATAGCTGGTGATCAGTATAAATTCGTGGAATAGATATATTTTACAGACGAGGAAACTTAAAGGCCAGAAAAGGAATATGACTTGTCCAACATCATACAGCTAGTAAATAAGAAGTACCCAGTTTTAGAAAGAACTCTCACCAGAGCTCTCTTCTATTCCATTGTGCCACATCATACATGCGGACAGGGCGAGAGAAAGATCTTAGATGTCCTCCTGGAACTTCAAACTCAACATGTCCCAAAGTCACTCCTTCTCCAAAAAAGCAAACAAAAATTTGGTTCCCATCCAGTCTCTGTAAATGGCATCCCCAGTGGCTCAAGGAAAAACTCAAGGCATCTTAACTCTCCTCTCTATTCCCAAATCCAATCAATCAACAATCTTATCAATTATAATCTTCAAACTCTGTCTCTCTAATCTCTTCTCTTCTCTCCAAGCCCTCTGCCACCACCCTAGATCCAAGCCACCATCATCACTTACATAGACAACAAAATGACTTACTACTTGGTCTTCACGCATTCAATTTGGCCAATTCTCTCCAATCTCCTTTCCACTTAACAGCCACAGTGATGTTTTTAGTATCTTTCTATATATGTAATTGAATCTCCCATTGCCATCCTAAAGTATTTGCACTCAAGTGTTTTGAAATGTCACTTTCTACAGTAAACTTTCCCTGACTCCTCCAAACAAGGGGAGAGCACCAGTTAGGCACTCCTATTCCACCTTGTAATACATCCCCCTTTGTCAGTGACACTCATCACACTTGCAATAGTTTGTCCAACGATGGTCTCCCCTATTTGAATATAAACTCCATGAGGGCAAGAGAAACTTCTCTTTTTACTGATGCATCCACAATCTTAGAACACACACAAAAAAAGTGTGGTTGGGAGAGGGAGCATCTCAGAAGAAGAATATTAGAAATGAGAAGATGGTGATAGAGAAGTCTAGGATGACAGCCTCTGAATCTGCCTGTCACACTAGTTGCCTCTAGACAGACATTAGACTTTCCATGCCCAGAGAAGCACTAATGTTAATCACACAAATATAACTACTACCACACCCTTCTTCTTAAGAGGGGAGTATAAAATAACAAACTTCTTTCATCCACAAAAGAGAAGAAACCACAAGAGAGAAAGATGGTTTTACTCAAGCCACACCCCACCCCCAAAAAAGGTAGTCTGCCACCTGGATACTGCCCCTCACCAATCAACAGAGAAAGAAGGGGGAAAGACAACCTTCCCTCCACTTACTGCAGCAGGGATAAGGAAAAAAGTATTCGATGAGGCAAAAGCTATTTGAAATCTATTTATTCTTTGGTAATTGTGAGAACATGTCATGTAAAAAAAACCTTGCTAATCCATTGGCAGTTCTTAATACAGGTAGCAATAGAGTTTGGCGTGAGATCTACTGCAACATTTCATTGTTCACATGTTGCCTGGGGCCAAGTTATGTCTGTCACAGAAACCACAAACCAGGCCAAGGGGTCAAGCATGTTGTTACTCATCCTGCCAAGCACCAACTGCAAGAAATGGAAAAATCAAAGCCTCTTCAAAGAGAACTCTGTGGAATATTCTCACTGTCTCCACTCAGCCTGGATTTGCTGGGTGAGGTAGAGAAGGGGTAGGGAGGGTATTCAGAGATTGAAAAGAGACTTAAAGAAATAGATGTGATATACTGGTGATAAGAGGGAGATTCTGAAACACAGAGGGAAAATGAGAATTGCAAATGGAGAAACAGGGAAAGAAACTGAAAGAACTTCATGAAAGGTAGAAGGGTAGGGAAAGGAAGGTACCAGAGAAAAGGATAAGGTGCTCAAAAAAAAGCACACAGTAAGCAACAGGGAGACATAGAAAGAGACAAAGCCACGCAGTCCATCTTTTCCCAAATCCAAAAGCTGCTCATTGCATTCCAATAAATCATTCTACTACAAAGCCCATACAATGGATTGTCCTTTGCATTCAGTAAAGCAGCATTAAACGAAGCATCACCCAGCTGTAACTTAGAAGATCTAAGGGTCTGAATTTAAAATGAACAAAATCAGTTCAGTGACAGAAGAGAACCAGTAAAGACTTTCCCTCATTGCCTGACTTGACTATAAAAAGGTTTGTCATTTTAGAGTTAAGCATAAAGTACCTGCATAAGTACTGCATTTCTCCTTCTTTTGATATTCCAAGAGGGGGGGTGTGGTTGACCCCAGGTCCATTCATTTCCAAGGTTGTAGATCTCTCAGCTAAGACTAGCCCCATCTGTTCTTGAATCAGCCAGTTGTTTATCTCAAAGTAGCATATTTATTGCACTAATCATCCTAATAACTTCCAAGAAGAGAGCCAACATCATACAAGTCAGAATGCTTTCTGTCCTGTTAAATGTATCAGATCCTAAAGGATGAAAAACCAAAAAACCACTACTATGCTCCTTGTTTTCCTTGGCCAGGATCACTCTTTTATGAGTACCTTTCAGTAATGGCAAATGAAGGTTAACAGTGCTTCTAACTTTCCCTTCCCTAACACGTTAAAATAAACCCAGGTTTCCTTAACCATCCCTTCTCCAAACCGTTATTTGTGACTAGTGACTGTGCCTCAGGAAACAGCAGCTTATTATGGTACCACTGCCAGTGGCAAGGAGCCTATTGCAATGTAATTTAAAACACACAAGCACAAATCTGTCAGCTCCACTTTCAAACAATCCTGAAATCCTGCAGTCGGGGAAAAGAACACTTAATGAAAATGCTTTTCCAGCAGCCCAAGAGAAGCTTCCCCAGACACGTGAAATATTTCTGACTGGCACGGAGTGCACCATTAAAGGACACTGTCACCTCGAATGGGCAGAAAAGGCGAGGCAAACGGCATAGACACGCATATAAAATTGAGCTCCACAAAACTTAGCCTGCTCAGAAGCACGCTCATCTTAAAAACGAAGTGTGTGCTCGCCCAAGCGACACAGAAATGTTCTAAAGTAGTGCGACCACATTAAATCACTGTCTCCATGTCTTCCCACGCATCACCCCTTCCTACTCAAACCTCAGCACTCGGGCCGTTAGTGACAGGACCGCAGTCCCCCACCTCTGCCTTCTGATTTTCCAAAAGCACTTCCCAACATCCCCCCCAGCCCAGCCCCCTCTCTCAGCTTCCAAAAGGTTGAGGGGAGTTGCGACTAGAGAATTGGCAGGAATCGGTCCTCCCGCGGGGGAAGGTGGCTGGAGTTGTTCTTTGCAGTGACCCAAATTACACAGAGCGTTTCGCTTAGCGGCGCTTGCGAGCACCTCCCCAATCCTCCCGCCCCCCATCTTCCCAAAAGAAAGCCTTGAGAATTAAGCGGGAGGAATAACTTAGTAGAACCATTGGAATAAATCACTTCAACTCACCTGGTTTGGGATTTTTCTCCCCACCCCAGGCATAAACAGAAATGATGTGCGAATGAGTCACGCACGCAACGTAAGGTGGTGCGATGTCTTAAGTCCAAGGGCTGGAGTCAGTCCCTGCCCTGATGCCGCTGCTACTCTTAGCTCAGCTGGAGCGAGCGGCAATCACAAGCCCAGCAGCAGCAGGGGGGTGGATAGACCGTAGCACAATGAATGCAGTAGGGTTTTTGCAATGACATCATCCCTCTGTCCAAAAGGCCCCAATAGCCATGCTCAGGAGCGCTGCATTCTGGAAATTGTAGTCCTCTTAAAGCTCGGCCGGGACCCTGAGGCTACTGCCGGAACTACAATGCCCAAAATGCACCGAGCTCGGACGCACCCAGAGCCAGCGAAGGGAGCGAAGGAAGCTCGGCCGCCATGTTAGGAGTACCGGGACCATTCTGCGGAGCGGGCTGTGGTTTTAGGAGGCGCGGGAGTCGAGTGGTGGTGCGTTGGGGATGGTGAGGTGGTGGACAAGCTCGTCGGAGACCCGGGGGCCCCACCCTGGGAACCGGAGGGTGGAAGCTTCATCTGGGGACAGATTGATGTAGGGCGGGTCTGGCTGGAGACGGCATCCAGAGGTAGAGGTTGAGCGGGCCTCGTCCTCACGGTCCTGCGGGTTTGCATAGGCCCCCTACGCCTCTTGCTCCATTTTCTAATAAGGTACTGAGGGAGTCAGTTCACTTCTGGGCTCGGAGCATCACTTATACCCTCTAACAGGACAGTCGGGGTTGTCGATGTCTTTGTTGGGATGCGGGGACCCGAGACGGCGACCTTCACGCCTGTGGTCGGAGAAGCTTCCACCCATGGAGTTGGGCTGCCCATCCAAACTTATTATTAACTTTTAGGTTAATTTTTCGTCCTTCCTTACCCCATCCCAGTTTTTCGGACCCTAGTTGGTTTCTCATACAGAATGATTGGCAAAGGGGTCCAAAGAAATCAAGATCGGAAGGTAGACAAGCTGCAAAGGGACGGGCGGCGCTTTGGGGCCGCAATTCGGAAAAGATAAGGAGGGGCCTAAAGGGGAAACACACCCGGGTTGAAATGACATCTTCATACCTGCCAGCAAAAGCAGGGAGATGTTGAGTTGGGGATTGATGTTATTAACGGCTGCCGATCGATCTGTTCCCGAGTAGCACGGGTTCTTCGGTAAACCGAGAGTATGCGCTAAAATACTGCAGAGATGGGGTGTTCATTACCATGGATCACCAGCTTACCGGAGTTTGTGGTACTCCGTATTTACAACAACTTTAACAGCTCATTTTTTTTTAACTAACTGAAACCAAAATCACTGGTCTTTAAGTTATTTTGTCTAGTGTCTCAAATGAACTGTATTCTCAATTGCATTACTAATGTGTGTTTATTTTTCAGAGTCTGTCTACACCATGGAAAGATGGAAAATTTCTTTTCCTCCTGAGGGTGTCTGAAGGGTTAAAAATGTTGCTATACTTTGCGCTGTTTTTCTTCCTCCTTTTTGCACCTAATTCTGAAAACAAAATTAACAAGTTATTTTGGGTCCCTTAGGTATGTGCTTCACCTGTTAGGAGTAATGAATAAGCTGATAAATGAATTCTCTTAGCAAAGAAAGGCTAGGCACAATTATTACAAGTGATCAAAGCATGGTAGAAAGAGTATTTTAAATGTATGCAGATTATGACTATAAAAACAGTTATGAAGAATGATCTTAAATGTCATGTTTCTGGGAATAAGTCACAAGATGAGTGGCTTTGTTTTATTTTTAAACAAAGGTGATATGTATGGGTCTCGTTTATCCATGAATATAACAATGGTAAGTGTTCATGCAAATAGTTCTATTATTCAGACATACCTTTGCAAATAATGATGGTAAGTATAGGAAAAGGAACAAAGTGTTTACTATTTTATTTCTGACCTTCAATATAACTATAGAAGTGTTTTAAGCTCAAAAGACATAAAATAGACAAGACAAATTTACATTTAGGTTTAGTTTCAAATTCTTAAATTACTTTTCAGAGTGTTTTTGTGTCTTATAAAAATTATAGTGAATTTGGTTCATTTTATATTTCTTTATATAAGCAATAATCTCAACATGAGTAACTGTTGAAGACAGATTTGTGTGTGTGGTGGGGGGGAAACACCAACAGATTTCTTAGAAATCCTGTGTGTGAGAAGTGAGATCTATGTAATGCACTGATTTTTGTAATTTGTCATGTTTTGGGGCAGTTTGAAGTTTTTCCAGCCTTATATACAGTGGACATGTAACCATAAAGAATTGAAGCAGATCTAGCTAATATCTACAAAAAGACTCCACGATTTAACCCTTAACTTTTAAGTGGTGGGAAATCTATAATGTGTTTTTAGAAATTTTATTTACAAAACTAATATTTAAGTTGGTGATGTTAGCTTCTGAAACGGTAACCTTAATGACCTGGAAGAAACACTGCATTAGGAAAACATTGAAAAGTGGAATTAGGAATGCTTTAAATAGATACAGAACCCCCCGCCCCGCCGCCCCCTTCTTTCAAAAGAGAATTAGGGAGGAGGGTATAGAGGGGATAAATGGTTATAGAAAAATTTTTTTAAAGAATTAGGGCGTTGATTTTATTATAATTATAGGCAGCTCATTAAAGAGTATTGTATTGACTCGGTTAAAAGTTTTTTCAACAGGCTTAAGTGTCAGGATCACCTATAGAACTCTAAAAATGAATAATTACTGCCCACCAGTAATTCGGCAGGAGCCAAATACTCCAGGATTGGAACCAGATATTGTGTATTTTTAAAACTACAGGTGACTGTACAAGGTAGGGTAGAGTAGTCCTTCACATCCGTATTTGTGTTTTTAGTAGTGTGTCATACCTAGTAAGTAATAAGTTTTGGCAAAGATTTTAGGTTTATTACTAATTATACCCATAAATGAATTGTGAAAATATGTAGATGAGGAAATCACTTAGGGGTCAATTTATACTTGATAGTTGGGGAGGGAGGGAAGAAATCAATTTTAACCTTGAGAATACCAGAATATCTTGACTTACCTGGATATTTCTTTGAGTAAGTGTGTAGTCTAATCCTAAGGAAGTGATAAGAGACACTTATCCAGCCCTGGCCTGTTTGGCTCAGCGGTTAGAGCGTCGGCCCGTGGTCCAGAGAAACCTGGGTTCAGTTCCCACTAAGGGCGTGTACCTCGGTTGCAGTTTGTCCCTGGCCCTGGTTGGTCGTGCGTGTGGCAACCACTTGATGTGTCCCTTTCACATCGATGTTTCTCTCTCTCCCTCCCACTCTATCTGAACAAAAAATAGAAAAATGTCCTCAGGTGAGGGTTTAAAAATAGGATTAAAAAATAAAAAATAGGCATTTATCCAGTAAGAACTTACTGCTATTACAAAATTATGGTAAAGCTCCAGATATTTAAAAGAAACAAGTCTCTCAACTGAGGCGACAGATACTAGAATTTTCTGAAAATAATTTTTTACTACTTTTCCTAAATCCTAAATTTTAAAAATTATTGTTGTTATCAAAATATTCTTGATGTTTGAGTACATGATATGTAATATAGTACCTTTTAAAGCTCCAAATTTGACTCAGTTACTAAATTTGAGGTTTCACATTCAAAATCCTATAGCATTTTTTTTTTTTTTTTATTTATTTTTTTTTTTATCCTCACCCGAGGATATTTTTCCATTTTTTGTACAGATAGAGTGGGAGGGAGAGAGAGGAAGGGAGAGAGAGCGAGAAACATCGATGTGAAGGGACACATCGAGTGGCTGCCACCCGCACGACCAACCAGGGCCGGGGACAAACTGCAACCGAAGTACGTGCCCTTAGCGGGAACCGAACCCGGGTCTCTCTGAACCGCAGGCTGACGCTCTAACCGCTGAGCCAAACTGGCCAGGGCCCTATAGCATTTTTTAATTCATATCTTTTATAGTATAAAAACAAGACTCGAGAACAAACATTTGAAATTTTTTAAGCAGCCCCAAGATTCAAATACTTAAGGGATCTGTCTTTGGAGGTGGTAAATGAAGACTAACTTGAGTGTTCTGGAGAATAATGACCTCTGGAGTCCTACTGATTCAATTTGAAATCTATCTTGAATGCCTTGCAGAGTCCCACAGGAATTGGTAACATTTTAACTGTGTGATAATAGCCTTAAGGGTGTGGAAGAGGATTAAACAGGATAATCTATGTAAAGCATTTAGCAGAGGGCTTTGAAACAGATATATTTGGTGTGTGTGTATTTCAAGTTTTTAGGAAGTAGCCCCAGAGTAGTTAGGACCCCAAAGACAGGACAGGGATTACCTCATATGTACTCTTTCAACAATTTATTGGTAAGTCAAACTTACATAATTAAGATCTTAACCAAAATATTTCATTTCTTCCTGTGAGAGGTCATTATAGGGTGGCTGAAATCTAAAAAATTTTTTGCAGTAACAGATTTTGCTTGTGTACTTGCATAGCTTGAAGAAGTTGATTATGAAAATCAGGCTCTATCTTAATTGAGGATCACTGTAGTTCTCTAAAAATAAATAATCTTCTAAATTATGAAAAATGTTAGAATTGTTTCATGCCTTACACAGGTCTAAAGTAATGCTTTTATATTTCAAGCTATGAAATTTGAAAGAACAGCTGTCTGTTGTTTGCCTTTATGTCTCTTCTAAAATAGAATAAATTTTCTTACCTGTCTCAGAAATGAAATGCCAGCAACCCAAAGGTGATGTATACCCAGCAGTTACATTAAAAATTATTATAACTTGATTACAGAGTTGAGACAAGCAAGCTTAACGGGGAACAAGAAAAACATTTACCAAAAGAGACCTTTTCAGGCCTTACCTTAGATGGAGTTAAAAGTCTTATATAATATATATTTCCATAAGTGGGCACACATGAGCAAGCCTGCTGCACAGGGTTCAACAGTTGGTGTTTTAACTCATTCTATAATCTTTCTAGTATTTCACATTTTAAACATTTTACTTTGAGTTAACATTCAGGAGAAGAAAACATGTTTTTTAGTCTTATTTAGTTGACCCACTGTTGTGTTTGTAACAAATTGACATGATTTTAACTTCTGGCTTTAATGTGTCACTAAAGTTAAATGCAGTAAATATCCCAAAGTCAAGATTTGAAATCCATATGTCCATTGTTGACTAGCCAGAAAAGTCTCCCCTCTATACCCTATGATTTTCTCGGTTTTTATAGGTTTGGATGATTAAGGTGGCACTAGAAAACATTTATTTGAAATAGTAAGTATATATGAATATGAGCTTAATCAAATATAAATATGTTCAGGAATATAGCAATTTAATAAATTCACTAGGTGATTCCTTTGCACCTAATTTTACTTGAAAGCACCAAGGTAAAATAATTTACCAAAATAATGTACCAACAGTATAAGCCCCTTCTCTTTTGTGTTCCTAATTCAGTCATATTTACATTGTGCTCAGTACCTCTTCTGAAATTCCAAGACACATGCCAAATATTTTTAAATGTTTGTGTATACAAATACTCAATGAAGAATATCCAACCACATGAACAAGTTATGTGATCCATGCCTTTATAAAGCATTTGATTAAAAAATATTTTTGAATAAGGAACCCTGCAGTACTCTACTGTAGACATCCAAAGTGTCAATATTTGGAGAGGGGGGCAGTTTCAACCAGTAAGTATGAAGTAATTACTAAGTACAAGGCTTTGGAGGTACAACGGTGACTATGACCCTTCAGACCATTACCCTCAACCTTTTTAGTGTCGTTTTCAAAAGAAATTTTTAATAAAATACAGTATGTCTTAGGAGCTGGTAATATTGAAATAATTATCAATTAAAATTTTTGATACAAGAAATATATATGCTTTATTAACTCAGTTAAGATCTAGCACTGGCTGTAATTATTGTAATTTCAACAATGATTAACATATTTAAAGTTTTCTACAATATTTACTAACACTTCTCTGGTCTGTTGCCCACATTCAAATTTTATTAGAAGTTATGTGATTTTTTTCCCCATAAAGTTCATGGACCCCCTGAATTCTATGAATCCCTGATTCACAACCCTGGTTAAATTTTTCAATTTTTCTCTCTTTCACAGTTGTATATAAGGCCTGATTAAGAACTTCAGAGACCTACTATGCACTGAAGAACTTGGATGACTTGCCTCATATAATTCAAAATCAAATAGCATAAAGTGGATTTAAGGAAGTTCTCGTTTCTCATGGTGAAGACACACACTTTTTTAGAACGTCCTAAATTATCTCCTTTTGTTTCATTAGGAGCAGGCAGGGAAACGCTGCTTTGCTGTTGTCTCCAAGTGTGTATTTGGCATCCAGGCTTTTCAATAGTCACTATATTTGGTACATAGTAAGAGCTAAGTAGCAGAATGAATGGATAGATCATTTCCATATAAGAGGTTCACAGTTTTGAGAACATTAAATTCATCAAGGTACAACGTGGGAAACAATACTAGAGTAGGAACTAAATGCTGTATTTGCTGTATAAATGAATAGATTAGTGGGGGAGGGGGGCTGTAATTCATGGTGCCCTAGATAGAGTTAAAAGGTAGGGTTAACATCTTCAAGCAATCCCATTGGTGGGTAAGCTCCAGAGGGGAATGTTTGTTTGTGCGTGCCTGCGTGTGCGTGTGTGTGTGTGTTTGTTTTCATTGTAGCTGATGTACTTCAAAACCCTGGACTGGTTTATCTTCACCTAATCAATCTCAAACCTGTGGTACCTCTTTTTTCCTAGACACTTCTCAAACATTTCAGCATTAACCTACCTCTAACTAGAAAGTAAGAAACCTCTTATTAGTTCAATAAGTAAATGAAGAGATGTTTTATCCTTAACAGAAAGCTAATTATTGTGTTGCTATAAGTATATTTTTAGCTACAATTTTCATTCACCAGTACTTAGGGTAAGAATCACCTCCAATTTTAAATTATGGCACAAGTCTGCTCAAGGTCACCCATTAACAAGTAGAGGAATTAAGAACAGAATCTATGCCCTGGCTGGGTAGCTCAATTAATTAGAGCATTTTCCAAATACACCAAGGTTGTGGGTTTGATCTACATCAGGACATACAAGAATCAACCACTGAATGCACAGACAGGTGGAACATGAAATTTTTCCCCCTCTAAAGTTAATAAAAACCAAAAATTTAAAAAATAACAACCCAGGTTAACTTTTAAATCTACACAAGAACTAGTATTTTAAGGGAAATGAGGAAGTAAATGTCCCAGATTTAAGTAGTTCCCATCTGGCCAAGACTACATATATATGGTCTTTTCCCCACATTTCCCAAAGGTACAACAGCCGTGTGAAACACCATATGGTGAAACAAAAGCTCCATAACTAAAGCACGTTTTTAAAAATAGCCTGAAGTTGCAATTTATTCTGCCTTCGAAGTGTACCTGGTATCTTTTCATCTTTTCTACCCTCCAAGAAAAACATTTCAAGGTTTCCCATTAGTGATTTACTGCTGAAAGGATTTAATGGCTCCTCTCCCCCTCCATCGCTTATCAATATCAATGAGTGTGTTTTCACATCGCTTGTTTAGAAGGCTGTAAAACAGTTTGGACTGAAAAAAAAATATTAAAGTGAATAGTGATTTTCAAGCCCTTTTGATCCACGTGGGGCACACTAGACCAATATCTAAAAAAGTGCATCACAATGTTTGTCAATTCACAAGTTAAATAGAACTTCGTTTTACAGACGAGGAAATTGGGCAGCTGGGAAGTATAACCAGGCCTGATCTGTGCTGGTGTGAAAATTGTAGGCTTTACCCATGCCACTAGGTGTGAACATTCACATAGTATATGGACCTAATTGCCATTCTAAATGCCAGGGATTTCTGAACTCTCTCTCACCTGGTCCCAAGAGTTTAGGGTAAGGGATTGTCTACCTATAGTTATTTCCACATAAACAGTGACAACAAGACCCAGACTTTATAGAACAATTTGCAGCATTTTTTAACTTGTAGTTCTTGTGCAGGCCACATAGCACAGTTTTATATTTTGAAAATAATTATGGACATACAGTATCATTTAGTACTTGACCTGGAAAAGGTAGAACCAGTGAGTAGTGGGCCAATGGAGAAAATTAGAAATCCACCTTTAAAATGCACAATGCTCCCCAAAAGCTGGTTACCATGTCCAGGAAAACAACTTGATTCTACTTTCTAACTCCCTTTTAGCACAAGGTTGCAAAATGACTGGCTCATAAACCATCAAGCTGCCTTGGCACGTAACATAGCAGACATGTAGCAGTAGTTTAATGGATAAAGAAGTTGTTAAATTACTGTAAAACGAATGGATTGTTTAGTCCTTTAATAACTGACTTTCATCACCCCATATCACTTCATTCTTTTGTTAACATTTTGTGCTAGTGAAGTAGATTGTTATGGACAATGAAGGAACTAGAACATTGCTTGACGAAGTCCTTCAAGGCTTGGACAGAAAATGGAATTGGAATCCTTGATTCCCAGTGCAGAGAAGACTGACATTTGATAATAAAATATTTATTGATAGCTGTGCTTTATACCATTATGTGTTTAATGCCATGGCCATAAAGCCATTACTGTAACGCTTTTTATTTTCTAAAGGAAGCCTGCAAGATGACTCCAGAATGACTGTTTTTGGTGAAATTCCTGTTTTCCTTTGGGACCAGGTTCTTTTTCTTCTTCTTTATTGATTTTAGAGAGGAAGGGAAAGGGAGGGAGAGATAGAAACATTGATGAGAGAGAACATCGGCTGTCTGCCTCCTGCATGCCCCCCACTGGGGATTGGCCCACAACCTAGACATGTGCCCTGACTGAGAATCGAACCCATGACCTCTTGATGCATGGGTCGACACTCAACCAGTGAGTCACACCAGCCGGGCGGGAGGTCCCTAACAGATTTTAAGATGATGCAGGTTGGTCAAAGGTTGGTTCATCCTCAATTTCTTTGAAAAGTACATATATACTCTACAATTAGTCAGGTAAAGCATTTTTAGATAGACTACTTCCATCTGGTCTATTTTCCTGTCACCCAGTAAGGTTTTTCATCATCAGCCACAGTTCTACTCTGGTATTAAAGGGTCTCCTGTTGCACACTGTACCGCTAATGTTTATAATAGAACATTAAGATAGGTTGAAGGCTTTCATAATCAGCCTACACTCAATCTTTCCCTACCTCTGCCCTCTTATTTCCCACCTATGTTTGCATACTGTTATCTACATTGTGAGTACATAGCCACTAAGTTTTCAGTTCTTTTCAGAGCAGGAACTATATACCATATTTATTTTCACATTTACTTCCGTGCATAAAACAGGACTTTGGTTTCAGCAGATATTCATTGAGTATCCACTAGGTGTCAGATGTACTAGGTAGATTCTGAGGACACCAAGATAACTAAACACAGGCCCTGAGTAGACTAACAGTCTTTTTTTTTAATTAACAGAAAGGGGGGAAATAGATCTGTAAGCCAAAAAAGCTGCAGTTTAATATATTGTAGTGGAGTAGGTTTCCTGGTTTAAGAGCACTAACAACCATCATTTCCAAAAGTTTCTCCCCAATAAGTTGGCTTCCATGACCAAATTTTCACCAACATAATGTCATTTTTTATAAGACCCCTATTGCCTCTGGGCAAGAAAACTAAGAGGTATTAAAGGGATATGAAATTACTTCCCCCTCTTAAAACTTTTCTGTTAATTAAAAATTTTATCCAATAAGACTTACTCTTTTGATGTATAATAATATGAGTTTAACCAATGAATAGAGTTATATAATCACCACCACAGTCAAGATATAGAACAATTACATAACCCCCCCTCCCCAGTTTTTTTTGTTTTTTTGTTTTTTTTTTATCCTCACTAGAGGACATTTTTCCATTTTTCAGATAGAAGGGGAGGAAAAGAGAGGAAGAGAAAAACATCGATGTGAAAGGGACACATCAAGTGGCTGCCCCCCCCCCCCCCACACACACACACACACACAACCCAACCAGGGCCGGGGACAAACCACAACCAAGGTATGTGCCCTTAGCGGGAACTGAACCCTGGTCTGTCTGGACCTCAGGCCAACACTCTAACCACTGAGCAACCGGCCAGGGCCTGCCCCCCCCCCCCAATATTTTGTGCTGCCCCTTTAATAATTTTTTGTGGTAAAAATTTTTATTTCTCAAAAAGTAATATTTGAGCTCTGGCTGGTTTGGCTCAGCGGTTAGAGCGTCAGCCTGCGGTCCACAGAGACCCAGGTTCGGTTCCCGCTAAGGGCATGTACCTTGGCTGCAGTTTGTCCCCGGCCCTGGTTGGGTCGTGTGGGTGGCGGCCACTCGATGTGTCCCTTTCACATCGATGTTTCTCTCTCTTCCTCTCTCTCCTTCCCGCTCTATCTGAGTGAAAAATGGAAAAATGTCCTCTGGTGAGGATTAAAAAAAATAATATTTGAATGTTTATTGTACAACTTTTCCTTATTCGAAAAAGGTATTGAGACAGAACCTTTTCTAATAAGTCTCTATAGAAATAGAGATATCCAAAGAGGGGCTAAATCATTAGACCATTGTTAGCCATCTGCACCTTAATTTGTAGAACAAGCTGTTGAAAATAAAGATTCAGAAAAGGTAGAGGGTGCATATGGTGTATGTCGTGTGTGTGTGTGTGTGTGTGTGTGTGTGTGTGTGTATTAGGCTAGAAAGAGGTTGGGGTCAGTGGATGGAGTTGGAGATTAGGGCCTGACAATGTGTTCCAAACAATGTGCATGCAATGATAGATATGGCTAGTGTGTTCTATGTTTTGAGTAGTACAAAGGGCCCTGGATTCTCAAAAGTAGGGTCACCAAAGAAAGGATATGAGCCCTGAGGAGGGCTGACCATGCAAAGTTTGACCTGGGATTCTAGTACTGACTCTGCCAGTAACTTGCCTTGAAGAGGTCAGTTTCCTTTTCTGGGCCTCAATTTCCTCATTTATAAAAAATAAGGTTGGATTAAGTATATTCCAAAGGCCAATTTAGTGTTCTCCAACTACAAGTAAGACCCTGTGTGTGTGTGTTACCTGAGTTTCTGTCCAATTTTTTTTTTTTTTTGAGAGTACATTTATTAAAGCTGGAACAGTGAAATAAGGAAGGACTTAAGATAGAAGAAGCAACAGGAAAGAGACTAGTCTGGGCTGCTTTGGTTCTCTAGAAACATGAGAAAGATGGGGTGCTTACTGGAGCTCACTGGAGAGTCAGAGAAAAGGGGCCTTGGGGACAGGTTCAGGGGATCAACCTTGGATGAGCTGCTGCTGTTCATTGCTCCCCTCCGAGTTTAGGAGATGCATGCCTATGGGGGAAGGAGAGTGGGTGTGCTCCAGGGAGGGAGAATTCGCTCTGTCCTCCAATTTTAACTGGGGAGACACATATGTAGATAACAATAACCAAACTCTAGCAAATATTACACTCTCTTAAAATGTCATGCAAGTTGCTCTGGCCGAGTAGCTCAGTTGGTTAGAGTGTCATCCTAATACACCAAAGTCATGGGTTCAATTCCCTGGTCAGGGCACATACAAGAAGCAACCAGTGAATACATAAATAAGTGGAACAACAAATCCATCAATCTCTGTGTGTGTGTGTCTTTGTCTCTCTCTTTCCTTCTTACTGCCCCCTAGAATCAATAAATACATAAAAAAATTTAATTCATGTAAGTTGATGTCAGAAGTTGCAAAGTTAAGGCTGATCTGAACTGAGCACTAGTGATATAGCTCTCTGATGTTCAGCCTTCTCATTCATAGAATGATTGTATATACTCTAATGTTCCTTGTAGTTCTCATGTTATGATTATGAAACCCATTAAAACTTACTAGTGTTACTTCCATTCTCAGTTCCTCTGGGTCTGCACCTGTTGTTCTGATTTTGAATGTTTTGTTGTTGCTGTTAATCCTCACCTGAGGATATTTTTTAGAAAGAGTGGAAGGGAGGGAGGGAGGGAGGGAAGGAGAGAGAAACATCTATGTGAAAGACACCTCAATCAGCCGCCTCCTGCATGACCCGGACAGGGCTGGGGATCAAACCTGCAACCCAGCCCTGGCTGGTTTGGCTCAGCGGTTAGAGCGTCGGCCTGCAGTCCAGAGAGACCCAAGTTTGGTTCCCGCTAAGGGCCCATACCTCGGTTGCAGTTTATCCCCGGCCCTGATTGGGTCGTGCAGGTGGCAACCACTTGATGCATCCCTTTCACGTCGATCTCTCTCTCTCTCTCTCTCTCTCTCTCTCTCTCTCTCTCCCTCTCTCTCTCTCCCTCCCCCTCTCTCTGAACAAAAAATGGAAAAATGTCCTCGGGTGAGGATAAAAAAAAAAAAACCTGCAACCCAGGTATGTGCCCTTGACCAGGAATCAAACCTGAGACCCTTTGGTCCACCGGCCAGCACTCAACCACTAAGCCAAACCAGCCAGAGCTGGTTTTTGAAGTTTTTGGTTTATTTTTATTAGCCACTATTCATTTAGTACCTTCTATGTGCCAGAACTTTTAATGTAAGGTATTTGACCTACATTATTTAATATTTAGGGACTTTTTTTTTAATCCTCACCTGAGGACATTTTTCCATATTTTGTTCAGATAGAGTGGGAGGGAGAAAGAGAGAGAAACATCAACGTGAAAGGGACACATCGAGTGGCTGCCACCCGCATGACCGACCAGGGCCGGGGACAAACTGCAACCAAGGTACGTGCCCTTAGCGGGAACCGAACCCAGGTCTCCCTGGACTGCAGGCCGACGCTCTAACCACTGAGCCAAATTGGCCAGGGCTATTTAAGGCCTTTTATAGTGCTGCCATCCTTTACAGATATACAGATATGGGGTAATCACACTATGCCACCTACTCCCATCCTGGATAAAGTATCCCTACAGCAAGATTGTTCAATGAATATTAAAAGTAGCACTAAAGAAGGGGAAAGATGTGTGTGGTTTTAAATTGATAAGTGAAGGGAAATGAACTAATGGTTGAGGGCTTACTGTGTACTAGGCACTTTATTTTTTTTATCCTCACCCAAAGACTTTTTTTTTTTTTTTTTTTTGCATTTATCTTCAGAGAGAGTGGGAGAGAGAGAGGGAGGAAGAAAGAGAGAGAAATATCGATGTGAGAGAGACACATCAAGTGGCTGCCACCCACACGACCCCAACCGGGGCTGGGGACAAACTGCAACGGAGGTATGTACCCTTAGCAGAAACTGAACCCGGGCCTCTCTGGTCCACCCGCCAAAGCTCTGACCGCTGAGCAAAACCGGCCAGGGGAACTAGGCACTTTATACATGCCTATCTTTTTCAGGTGATTAAGATAAGCAGATAGGTAGAGAGACATCACAAAGGGAGCCTGCTTGTTTTGATAACAAAAAGGAGGAAACTATTTCATACCCTAAATTATTGGAATTATTCAGAATATTTGTGTTTCATGTTATTCTTCACTATGAGGGCACTATGAGGACAGCATGGTAACTATGTAGTGTCTGGTCGATGTTTGTTGAATTAATAGGAATTTTTCCCATGCCCTAGAGTAAAAGCTATGGACCTATCTAGGATGTCATCTCCTCCACACACACAAAAAGGAACAACCAAATCCCTCTCACCTTAACCCTCTTCACATCTGTATTTGGAATTTTTTAGCCCCTCTACAATCCCTGCATGTGCCCCAGGTTAAGAACTCAGCCCAGGAGATACCGTGTATCCAGGCAGGCTAGAAGTATAGTTCCATGAATTTATAGTGCATCCTTCC